ACCCTCCTGTCACATCCACCACCCCTCTTAGGTCCAAGTGGTCTCCTCAGAACCCTGTTTTCAACACCCTCGATCTGCGTTCTTCCTCTAAGATGGCTCCAAACTTCACGCAAGACAGCAGGTACCACCGCGAACTTCGCTCCTCACGATTTCAGATCGTGAGTGGCAAGACACGAGAATCTGAACCACGCGTTCCCCGAATTCAACAGATCGAAACGTCGTCTTGAATGCAATATTCCTATCAATGTTATCAGCAGCAATTTAAGAAGTACAGCTCCGATCAAAAGTAAAGCGCGTCTCGCTAGCAATTTAGCAGCCAACATTAATTAACGCCTGTCGTGTCTTATACATCGCACCGCAAAACTTCTCATCAAAACGTCGGGCGACTTTTCTGCAGAGTAGCGAGCTCTTGAGGGACAGGCAGTCTGTTCAAAGTGCGAAACGAATGACGACGAATTCCGGGGAATCTTTTGATGCCGTCAGCAGACTTCCAGCGGCCGAGTTCCAAGAACAAGCAAGCCCTTCCGCCCTGCAAGCAGCTGAGGGCCGGAGTTAATTGCTCTCGCATTCGGATGCTAATTGCCGCGGTGACAAAGCCCTTGCGACTGTCAGCCACAGCGACACTTCAGCACCGCGACTGCAGCCTGTCGTCCTGGGTTTGAGCTCTGTTCTACGTCAACGCTAACACCAGTCCGTTTCTCGTAAGCCATTTGTAGCTGTTTATTTAACGACGCTCAAATCATTACGAGTCTAATGACAGGATTATTAATAAACAATGCGTTTTCAGGTACTATCCGGACACTTGCCTGGACTGACTGAGGTAAATCACGAACGGCCTCGAGTCAGGATACCCTGTCTCCAGGCCGAGATTTCAACCCGGGACCTCCCGAACACGAAGGATAGCTTAGCCCTTTGGAGTCCTAGGATAAGGAAGGATAATATTAAAATGCATCTTAAAGATAATGGGCGTAAGCGATGTGAAGTGGATTCATGTGGCTTAGGACAAGGCCCGGACTCTTGTGAAGACGGCAATAAACCTTTGGGTTCGTAAAAGATGAACGACTATGAGCTTCTTAAGGCTTTGCAGAGTGTGCTGACTGATGTTCAGGCGAAAACCCGCTCGTTGCCAAGTGCTCCAAGTACTGTCTTGTCCGAATAAGAAGATCGGGTGTAAAACTGGGAAAGACCACCGACAGGCCAAACGCGGATCTGACGACTGCATTGGTTGTCATGCCAACGGCTCTACAATGTCCGCGCTGAAAACGCATTACCATTCCGTTGTAAAAACATCGTCTCCAGTCTGAAAGACACTGTGGTTAGGTAGCCTACAACAAATTCCGTAAGGGCCTGAGAGCTGTGTAACTGAAACTCGTCCTCAGGATTTGAGGTTCTCAAGAGGGCGAGGATGGGAATGACCGTCTTCCGGGGCTTTCTGCGTCCAACATTAAAGTGACCGAGCCCCAAGCAGCTCCGAAACGTCGGCAAAATCCTACGGGACTCAAACTAAAGACGGCCATGTTCGCAAATCATCAATGCCTACGAACGCGGCCTCAAACGAGTGCCCCCAGAACCCACTGTCGCTTGAGCTGAGCTGACCGACCAAATGGCTTTTAAGATGATGAAAGGCCAAAGCGTCCCGTGAATACGGAATGGCACACGGCCCCAAGGAAACATCCTCCAGAAGTTAAATGGACTGGGCGAGGTGGCAAGGGCAAAGTTCCGCCCCTGCCAGGATTCGAACCGCGGTCGTCCAACCCGTACGAGCCACTGAACTGACACGTGTTCACGAGATTTAAAGACGTCGCAACTTCACGGCACTGCTAATTGCAAAGCCCAAGGTACAAAATAGCTTCTAGTTATGTCAGCATTAGCCGTTCCCCAGTCCATAAAAACTGAAGGTATCGATTTACTGAGATTTAAGGGCTGAAGGGTGGATCATGGGGAGGGTTGAAAGGAAACTGTAAAGGAGATTTAGGAAATTGGTGTCGGAAAAGCGCAATAAAATATACAGTAACTCCCCCCTTCCACCACCGCCATCTGACACCCTTGTTTCTTTGCAAACACCTTGAAAGATTAACGGCGGAACGGCGTAGCAAAATAAGCTCTTTTGGTCTGAGAGAAGCAGCACCCTGCACACGTTACAAGCTGCAGGAAGGCAGCCCGGACCACGACCGAACTCATGGCGAGAGGTCCGAGGGTTCTCGGCTGTGAACAAACACGGCGACGTTCATCTTCTGGGTTGCGACGCCGTGTGGACTCATAGGTAGATATGAAAGCTTCGGAGGAGCATAATTCCTACATCTTCAGGGCTAAAAATAGGCCTGAAAATCTTGTGGTCCACGCTGATAAAGTAATTTATTGGCGAAAAATAAGTGTTACTAAAATAAGAGCAGAAAACTCTAGTAGCTGCTAGTACAGGGAAGTTGGTCTAGAAGAAAACGCGGAGAAAATTACGTCCTGTCACCGGACTTAAGGACAGCATCAATATGTTAAGGCGAGTTGACAGATCCTTTGAAAATATCGTGGTCCGGTGGCTATGAATATAAAAAAAAACACTATCGCTAAGAAAGAGCGAATTCTGACCGTACTCGCCAACACAAAGTTCAAAATCTTCTATTTCTGAGCCTCGTACCTAAAAGCCTAATAAATCAAATATCAGAACCATAAATTTACCTTCGACTTCGTGGGTGTTTCACCGCAAGAAACACTTATGGATCGAGGGTGTCTGCGAACGGGGTGCTGAGGGGGATGAAGCGACAGGAAGGAGGAGAGAGAATCGTAATCACGTAGCACCAATGAGCGACACAACAAATGCATACAAAATTTTGGACGAAAAACGTTAAGGACAGAAATCCCTTCCAAACATAAGCGTAGACCGGAGAGCAATCTTAAAATGGATCAAGGGTTTTGAAATAGATTCTTGTGGCTTCGGCTCTTGTGAACGCGGTAATGAACCTATGTACTCGATAAAAGGCGGTGGTCCATGGAGTTAGGCGAGCTAACCCGATGACAGCTTGTCCCAGGCTTTCCTCTGCGATTCGTCCCCGTAATACGCGCAAAACCTTCGCGGCAGAAGGTTTTAATGCACTGTATTTTGAGGCGGAGATTTAAGTTGAGCCGTGTGTAGGGTGAAGTCGATAGCCCGATCAGAGCCCCCGGTCCATTTCTTTAATCGACCCCTAAGTTGCAGGGGCGGCGGGGGAGGGTAAAAGCTTTCGGGTAGAGTGGGGCGTCCAGATAACGGGACAGAGAACACCGCGAGGTTCGCCTCTCATAAACCTTAGGGTCCAGGCGTGAAGAACGTTTACTCCCTCGCGACTGGCTTGTGAGTGTTTCGGCTACAGAATTCGCGACCATCCACGGTTCGGAAGTTATGTTATATCTAGAACTGTAGAGTGTATTTTAAATTAATTAACAGACAGATGGAAGTTAAAACATATTTTCTAACGTGTTCTGCTATATTCGTTTATACTGATGCAACTCAAAGTGGCAGACTGCTGCTAATCACGCGAAACACTCAGTGTTTCAGCTCTACAACGAAACTAAATGAAATTTAAATTCTGCCAATGTTTAATTCTGTCAGTAAGACGGCTGGCATGAAAAACATGAGGACAAGAAATGATGTGGATGGCGGATGTGGTGGATAAACTTCCTGTTCAACTTATGCCTTAAATTTAACTTGCAGTTAAAGAACATGTCGCATGAGGTGGCATAACCTGAGTGCAAGGCGAAGCGTCAAGACATTTCAGACATGGACCGTCTTCATCTCAGTTGAAAAATAACGTGCTCAAGATACAAACCGTGAACCGCCGGCACCAGACGGAGAGCCACCGGATGTCACGAATTCGCTTTCCCATTGGCAGTCGCAATAAGACGTCACTGTTGTTGAACGATCCCAGGACTGGCGGATCTCTGGAACAAGAAGGACACTATCAGCTTGAAAAGCGCTTAAGCCAGAAACACAATGCATGTCCACGATACAAGCGAAATCAGCTGAAAATGTCTACTTTCTAACAGCTGAATAGAGACAATTCGCAAGTATACGAACCAGGAGATCCACTTCGGTGTTCAGTGTTGTAACGCTACGGGCGGCAGCCAACAAGACCGCACGCTGCCACAACCCAAAACACCATGACTCCCATAAGACCATATCGATGGCACGGCCAATGCATTAAGACGCTTAAATCTTAAATTAATCATCTGAAGCCGAAGTTCATCTACACGATATTCAAAGTTCCAGTTCTTGCCTCAAAGAAAACACAACCTGTCTCCATGACAACGATCAAATGGATAATGTCGTTAAGGAAATAATCAAACGATAATTACGATAAACTTCTGAGTTAAGAAAGAACTGAGAAACCACTTGTCATGTCTGAGTAGAAGTGAGGATAATATTAACATCGATCTTAAATAAATCGGGTCTGAAGGGTGGGGACTGGATTTAACTGGCTCTTGGTTAGATTCCAACAATCAGCGATTAAAGAAGTCTGTGGTGCTCCATGCAATTCGTTAGTTATGATACAACCCGACCACTTCTTGGCCTCGAAGACGTCAGAAAAGAGCAGTTAACAGGAAAGCTAAAACAAACACGACTGTGGATGTGTGAAGCCACAAATGCCGTACGTGATGACAGCAAGGGGTGTACAAACCGGTGGCAAGAACCGCAGTCCACTCTACCCGTCCGGGAACAGAACCTCGCTCCTTCGGACCGCAGCCGGTGACCTGCTGGCTCTGAAACGCGCCTTGTCTTAACACTGGCACTGCCCAACATCGAGGATGAAGCCACGCTCCTCCACTGTTTCGTTTCGTGTTCCTCCCGCGTACGATTTGCTTTTATAACGGATTTCATTTCCCATTCTGACGTATCTCGTGTTCACGCTACGCCAAGTTACAAACGGGTTTGCGTTCCCTCATATAAACCCCAAGAGAACGGGGGGGGGGGGATTCTCATGCACACTTTAAAGCCACAAAGTGCGTCCCACTGTAACGACGCACCGCGCCCACGTCGCGTCGTACGTACGGATTGTGATCAAATTTGGCTCGCAGAAAACTGACTGTTGCTCAGCTGCTTAAGAAACTAAACGTCTTTTACGTAACCAAAATTTCAACACCGTGTTCACATGAGCACGCCACTGGACCATATCCTGGAATAATTCAGTTTAGTTAATAACTTTACGTATTACTTCCTTAAAATACATTTTAATATTACCCTTAATTCTCCGAAGCGGACTCTACTCTCAGAGGTTTCCCAACAAAAATTCTGCATGCCTTCTACACGTTCCACCCACGAGATCCTTCTTAAGTTCATGACCTTAATAATTTTTGTTGAACAGGACCAATTATGGAGCTCGACATCGCGAGTTTTCCTCAGGTCCAGAGACGCCAGCAGACCGGAGAGCCTGCACACCACTGCGCGTTAAAAATACGCCCATTTCGGTTTGATAGGATTTATCCCCTTGTTCCCCGTTAAGGGTCCTCGAACTCAAGCTGATGTGATTCCATTTGGAAGGGAGCGCCCTTTTATTCGATTCGTCACGAGAAGGAAGCCGCTGATGCGAATCTCCTTATTGTCAGCTGATTTATACGAATAAATTCAATACATAAACACGTTTCCATCTTCCCACAGGGGAATCCCTGATTCACCTGCCCCCAGGAACACGCATGAATACAAAAGCAACTGCACAAGGTTCTCGTAAATCCGACATGTGAAGGCGCGTTCCCGGTTCCTTGAATTCCTCTTTCCAACTACGCACAGGAACACAGAATCTCCTGTCGCCGACTCCGGTCTACACATCCAAAACATTTTTAAAAAAACACACGAACCTGTAACTACACCAGTTTGTTTTTGCGGGGTGAAACTCGCCCCTCGCTCTGAGCAGCGAACGGCGAGAGGTCGAGCCCAGTACCCGGTTCGAAGACCGCAGGATGGAGATAATTACGTAACGAAGAACTTCATAATTTGCATTCCGCAGAAAATATCATAAGCGTTATCACATAAATGATTAGACAGGCGGAGTTTGTAGCACGAAAGGAGCCCCTAAGTGCACAGAGACGTCAGTCGGACAACGTCGAGGGAAGCTGAGCGTTGATGGGGAAGATAATATTAAAACGAATCTTAATGAAATAGTGTTGCAAGGTGTTGACTGTGTTTAAGTGGCGCAGAAGAGGAACCAGAGGCTCTCTTTAGTTTCTCAGGAAGGATTTTCCTCCAAACTCTCGGGCAAACGTCACACGGACACCGCTTGCAGATAAAAAAAGGGAATTAAAGTAGCCCACAGCGGCTGCTGGTCTGGTGAAGGTTGGAAACCCCTGCGTTTCACAGAACGTTTGGCAACGAGACACCCCAAAAAACATGATAGTCTTGTCACTGAACATTCTGGAACGGCTTTAAATTTAATCTCTGGAATGTTTGTACCACTGATGACGAGAAAGTGGCGTGATCTTACGAAGTAACATAAAAGCGCTCGTCTGGATCACACGGACGGCCAGACGGACAAACACATCGTCTCGAAGACCACACCCTGATTCTTCCGAACCCTTCTAAACACGAGGGCATGGCATGGGCCGCGGACCACAAGCTGAGAGCCCGCAAAGTGCATAACAATTCTCTCCCTTGGGGGGGGGGGGATTCTCATGCACACTTTAAAGCCACAAAGTGCGTCCCACTGTAACGACGCACCGCGCCCACGTCGCGTCGTACGTACGGATTGTGATCAAATTTGGCTCGCAGAAAACTGACTGTTGCTCAGCTGCTTAAGAAACTAAACGTCTTTTACGTAACCAAAATTTCAACACCGTGTTCACATGAGCACGCCACTGGACCATATCCTGGAATAATTCAGTTTAGTTAATAACTTTACGTATTACTTCCTTAAAATACATTTTAATATTACCCTTAATTCTCCGAAGCGGACTCTACTCTCAGAGGTTTCCCAACAAAAATTCTGCATGCCTTCTACACGTTCCACCCACGAGATCCTTCTTAAGTTCATGACCTTAATAATTTTTGTTGAACAGGACCAATTATGGAGCTCGACATCGCGAGTTTTCCTCAGGTCCAGAGACGCCAGCAGACCGGAGAGCCTGCACACCACTGCGCGTTAAAAATACGCCCATTTCGGTTTGATAGGATTTATCCCCTTGTTCCCCGTTAAGGGTCCTCGAACTCAAGCTGATGTGATTCCATTTGGAAGGGAGCGCCCTTTTATTCGATTCGTCACGAGAAGGAAGCCGCTGATGCGAATCTCCTTATTGTCAGCTGATTTATACGAATAAATTCAATACATAAACACGTTTCCATCTTCCCACAGGGGAATCCCTGATTCACCTGCCCCCAGGAACACGCATGAATACAAAAGCAACTGCACAAGGTTCTCGTAAATCCGACATGTGAAGGCGCGTTCCCGGTTCCTTGAATTCCTCTTTCCAACTACGCACAGGAACACAGAATCTCCTGTCGCCGACTCCGGTCTACACATCCAAAACATTTTTAAAAAAACACACGAACCTGTAACTACACCAGTTTGTTTTTGCGGGGTGAAACTCGCCCCTCGCTCTGAGCAGCGAACGGCGAGAGGTCGAGCCCAGTACCCGGTTCGAAGACCGCAGGATGGAGATAATTACGTAACGAAGAACTTCATAATTTGCATTCCGCAGAAAATATCATAAGCGTTATCACATAAATGATTAGACAGGCGGAGTTTGTAGCACGAAAGGAGCCCCTAAGTGCACAGAGACGTCAGTCGGACAACGTCGAGGGAAGCTGAGCGTTGATGGGGAAGATAATATTAAAACGAATCTTAATGAAATAGTGTTGCAAGGTGTTGACTGTGTTTAAGTGGCGCAGAAGAGGAACCAGAGGCTCTCTTTAGTTTCTCAGGAAGGATTTTCCTCCAAACTCTCGGGCAAACGTCACACGGACACCGCTTGCAGATAAAAAAAGGGAATTAAAGTAGCCCACAGCGGCTGCTGGTCTGGTGAAGGTTGGAAACCCCTGCGTTTCACAGAACGTTTGGCAACGAGACACCCCAAAAAACATGATAGTCTTGTCACTGAACATTCTGGAACGGCTTTAAATTTAATCTCTGGAATGTTTGTACCACTGATGACGAGAAAGTGGCGTGATCTTACGAAGTAACATAAAAGCGCTCGTCTGGATCACACGGACGGCCAGACGGACAAACACATCGTCTCGAAGACCACACCCTGATTCTTCCGAACCCTTCTAAACACGAGGGCATGGCATGGGCCGCGGACCACAAGCTGAGAGCCCGCAAAGTGCATAACAATTCTCTCCCTTGCCGTCTTTATGTGTATATCAGGGACTCCTCCTGTCATTGCCCAGACAAGCTCTCACCCTTGATTAAAGATGAAACAATTACAAAGCCGTTCCGAGCCTGTCCCCCCCCCCCCCCCCTCTCCAACCGAGCGGCAATGGCACACGACACTGAAAAGGTTCGCAACCAGAGGCTCTCCAGTTGCTTCAGTCTTTTATTCTACTTGTTATTATTATTTGTTGCTCATTTAACGACGCTATCAGCAGCTCAGGCCACATAGCGTTCAATTATAGGATGTGGAAGGAAGCACTGTGGCCCAAATCAGAACACTATCCCAGCAGTTCCGTCGATGGACTGAGGAAAATCAAGAGAAACTCAGGACAGCCGGTCTCAGGGCCAAGATTTGAAAGTGTCACATCCGGAATACGAAGCAGGCACGCTGGCATCAGAGTAGAAAAACTAAATTCACGAAGAAGAGTCCTTTTTGAGAAGCTCATCATCTCTCAACCGGTCAAGACATTTACGGCACATCACGAAACCCGAAAGTCCATTTTCACAAAAGCCCACCGATGACCTCTACCCAAGAAAGATAAATCCAAATCACATCTTGGCATCCTAAATTTCTAAACACCTATTTTAATATTATACTGCCGCCATTCAGGTATGAAATATTCACGATACAGTTTTCTTTAAGCAGGTTCCACCACACGAGGACTGCGCCCTCACTTCAGCACAACCTTACCGTCTGCCAGTGTCTCGGAACAGGACCCATTATCTCCTAATTTAAAGCTTTTAACTTCAAGACTTCATCCCCGTGCCATCCCCCGTTCTAACAAACCCTCTTCAGCCCACGGCACTTCTAGTCACCGAAGGAACGGAAGGGTGCGCAGTTACGCCCGCAGGGGCAATGCGTGAGCGTCTGCCAAATTTGTGCCCTACGCTCTAAAAACACGATTATCGGACGCCAAATTTTCAAAACAAAGATTCACTATTTCGGTTACAACGCGAAATTAACATGAAATAAACGCCTGTAAGTCCGTCTGAATCAATTACTGATCGAAATTTGACTAAATTTAGTTCTGCGGTAGATCCACTCTGCAATGCAGTTACCGAGCTCAAAAAAAGTAACCAGTCCATGAAGCACAGCTCTTTTTAAGAAACCAAGAGTACACTCAGCTAGTCAATAATTTCCCAGCCCTTTATGGAACCTCGAGGTTCATCACAGTCCCCACAACAGCCGACCACTGAATCCTATTCCGAGCCAGACGAACGCAATCCACAATTTCATATCCTCTGCAAGACTTTGCTGCCTTCAGGTTTAGTGGCAACAATTTCTCATCTCCCATGCGTGCTGCACGTCCGGTCAGTTCTTCGCCCTGATTTCCCGGACTGTACACTGTCGCCGGGTCTCCCAGTGCATTACTGGCAGTGGATTTTGCCAACGTCAGTAAATCTGGTTTTTGAGCCACCAGGCATTGTTGACGGACGAAAAGAGATCGCGTGGGCGAGGGGATTAGGCCGGAAATGGAGCTCCATAACGCCACGGCGGGGGATAAAGCGACGGGGCGGGGGAGGGGGGTGAGAGGCGATCGGCCCAGTGTTGTTGTGCCATCGTGCGGCAATTATTGGGTACCGGAAGTCACGAGGAGTGCGCGAAGTGAGCGCGGGGATGCGTCAGGCTGAGATGAATCTGTCTTCTTCAGCATCCTCAGCAAGGGATTCAGACAGCCGAGCGACAGAGTGACAGGGCAACGGCTGTTCCAGCCCGGATTTCTTTTTGTATTCCTTCTGACAGCCTTATGAATACTTTAACGTTCACCAATGGTCTATTACATTTTGGTCGTTTCAGGAATTATTGGGTTACTAAGCAACGAAAACAGCAGCGCACATATCGCGTTCTTGCATTAAACTAGAGACGGGCATCAACGATGCAGATGGAGGGAGCATGTTCCTCTGAAACGTTGGTTACCTCAATTCTACACAGCTTCATAACCCAGTAGAACAACACGAAAATCTGCACCGCCTTGAGAACCTCAAATCTCATATATGGTACGAACGTTTATACACAAGACAGTGTCAAATACTCAACCTGCAGTTTTTTATAATTATGTAAATGTGAAATCGGAAGTTTGCATTAAAACGCTTGTCGTACTAAATTTTGGCACAATCGGTTCAAACAACCCCGACTTTTTACACGAAGGCTTACCTCAGTCGGAACAGACCCATGGAACAAACAGGCAGGATCACAAAATCACTACAGTATTTATTCTCCTAGAATGACTAATTAACTAATTAAGCACCATGTCATCACGAAGTATGTTGCAGCTGAATCTCAGTACCAAATGGACAAAATCGGGCAACTTCAACTTTGCATCCATGTGACAGGTGAGCCCCAAAGTGGGTGCCCTCGAAGAGAATCTAACCCCAGTCGTAAACTTGTAGCCAATAAATTTACTTGTTCACCTAATTACATCTGCTTTCACGTTCTACATTGCATGACCGACACAAACCACGAAAAGTCAGAATAATCTGTCTGCACCCAGATTCTGGAACTGGAAATGCCAACTGGAAAGTACATCGAGCTGACAGATGGCTAAAACCGGCTCCAATTCCTCGTGATGTTCGGGAAATCCTCAACTCACCTTCCTTTGTAATTCTCCGGGTAAGGAACTATGAAGCCCTCAGGAGACGGCCGTGGAGTGTTGCCAACCCAAAAGTAAGCGTCTGAAAAAAAAAAGGCGGACAAATTAAATCACAACTCCCGGAAAAGTTTTTCTGTCAGCTGCTGGAGGCCCGTCACGGCCCGGTCATCGCACTCCTCAGCACGCTCATTAAACTTGCCACGGGCAAGGTGACATGCAGAAACAGCGACTACGACTTAGCGTCCGTCCAAACGCATTGAAGATTTCTTGAAAGAAATCGTTCCAGCACCTCAACTCGCTACCAACACTTGAGGCACTGTTAACCGAAGTGATTTGTCTCGGCATTTTAAGAGAGGCCAGCCACGCACATGAACTGCAACACAGCTACACACTGTACGAAAAAAGAGTTAACTTATCCACGACATGATGTGTCAATTTCAATTTATCTATCGCAGGGAAAAATAAATAATTCTTGGCACTTGGTAAAGTTCACAAATTATCGGATTTGTAGAACGCTTTTAAATCTCATATCCTACTGTCTTGAACATTACTACACCATATTTCCGCGTAATTCCTGACGGCATATTCTCTGCTACGTACAAATTATTTGTGTAGAGTTCATGCCACCTGTGATTAACGGAAACTCGCAATGCTTACTTCTGACTCACCCTGTATAATACCAACGACGGACTCGCTTAAAATCGTTAACTGAAATCATGACGCCGTTGTCGTTGCGCTGACCTCCGCCAACCTGACCATTTACGAATTTCATTTGGCTAGACCTACTTTCGTGAAATTTTGCGTATACATTATGCCACATTTGCCTATCAGAAGCACGCAAGATTTCACTTCGCACAAGCGGAAAATTCGACGATGCTGCTTCTTGTAGTCGTGAGGTGGAGCTAGGACCCCATCGGAATACCGTTGAAGCCGCGCTGCTGCCTTTAGTCACAAGTGTGATACGCAAAGCAAAATGGTCCTTCCGATACTTTTTTAAACGTTGGAAGACAATTTTAGTTGCTAGGGGCACGTGCCAATACAAAAATGTATTCCGAAAACAGGAACAAACGCTGGTGTCCACTACTTGCCTGGGCCAGTCCCGTCGTAGCTGAAGCCTTTGATGTAAATGTTGCTCTCGTCCACCGCGTACGCCGTCCCTTTGATCCTGTGGGCGTACTCCTGTAGCGTTCCTATCAGTTTTCCGTAGTACGGGGTCGCCGAATTGCGCGCACAGGAACCTGGAAGACAAATAAATGACTGCTCAGACACTTCGGCTCGTGGGATTTAACTGCATCAACTGCAGAGATTATCTAACTGAGTGGACACGGAGGAATCGACCGCGGACTTCCTCAATCACTGCCTAGAAGTGCGTCTCCTGATATCCGGTCATACGATCGAGATAACAAGTGCGCAAATAGATACGAAAAAGTACACATAAGCAAAATACGATGCAGCAGAACACATAGTGGATAGTGGAGAGGCGAGGTGAGTAACTGAGGCCAGTGCGGCGCTGACAGCTGCTTGCGAAATACAAGGGGACGGAATCAATTTGCTAAATGGTATTGCTGGTATGAAGGTGGGGTGAGGGGGTTGAGACGGTCTTTATCTTAAAGTAGAGGGCGGACAATCGTTTTGTGCTCCTGAGAACAAGAAGTCGCATCGAAACATCGCGTAATATTATGTACTCTTGAACGAGGCC